TAGGTTAGTAAATTAAACTGATTATTTCAATATTTTTAATGTTTTTACGGGCCACCAACAGCGGAACGGTAAAATGGCTGAACATTAGTAGTTTAAGATAAAAAATAACACACCGAACAAGTATTAATTTAGAAGTCAAACAACAAAAATCAGAGTTAAATTTGCAAATTTTCACAGGACTAGTTTCGATGGTTTTTACCGAACCATCATCCTCAGCTGCCAAAGCGCAAATGAACGAGATAAGGTAAGATAAAATGGCTGGAGTTAAGCTATTGACACCATCTTTATTCATTAAACGAAATCAAAAACCAATAGTCACACCACAACGCCTTAAAGAGGGGCATGGCCGACCTATGAGTCAGTTCGCAAGCGCAGCTATAATTCCGTGTAAACCGAGCTTCATCAAAGCGGAAAGCATGAGCCAAGGTCATCATTTGCACGATGAAATGCGTTGGAGTGCTATCGGGATATTGCAAGCTGGTGCAAGACGATCTGTTGCTGTGATAGAGCTGAATGTACATCGTAGTCTTATTAATAGGCTGTGGAATCGTTAGCAAAGGGATCAAAATCCCTGCAGACGTAGTAGGATTACCACAACGGCAGACGATACCTTCAGAATGCTATATGCAGGACACCGTAGATCACTAATAGCACGACAGCTAGAGTCGCATCTCTCTGCTGCTGCAGGTCGGTCCATATCCCGCTAATCTGGGTCGCGTCGACTGGATGAAAGTGAAGAGTACGCCCAACGACCTGAGGTTTATGTTCCTTTATCCCCACTGCATTTCAGAGCGCGGTTGAATTGGGCTCGTGAACATTGCAGCTGGACTTCAGAGCAGTGGGGCCACGTACTCTTTAGGATGTGTCTCTATTTAACTTCCAGAGCGATCCCCGAAGAGCAGTGTTATGGAGAGAGCCAGGAACACGCTATCGGGCGCCAAACATAGTCAAAAGAGACCATTACATGGGAGGAGACTTACTTGTGTGTGAGCTGCTATAGCAAAGAGCGGCCCCACGGACTTCAACTTGATTCCGGATGGTTCCTTCACAGCTGTCAATATCGTGACGAAATTCGTCAACGTCTTGCGTGTCCTTTTACTAATGTAGTGGGTACCGATACAATACTCATAGACGGTAAGAATTCAAAATTCTATTCTGAGTAAGAAGAAAGTAACGGAGATATTGTCTAAGTGTCAAAGCTAGCAAACACGTAAGTTAATTAAATTCATTTCCGGCAATTAATGCATATTATGTAAATTTTCTGTATTTCACTCATTCTTAATGTTTCATTTTAGTCTTATGATAATATACTTTTGTACACTAGTTCTTCGTTGTTTTATTGTTTTAACAAGATCTTAACGAAAGTGTCGGAAAGCAATTTTCTCAAGCAATGAAATAAAACTATCATAATAATTATACATTACGATTAGAAGATTTGTACTTCAAGTTAAACAGAATCGCTAGTTTCTTACTGCTTCTTAACTAGCAATTTAAACAATTTTAAATGTCTTACTAAACAGCTTTTTTACTCTTGATTCCTACTTGAAATAAAGACAAAACGCTTTCGCATCTATTAATTATTGTTAACTGATTGGAAATTAGTTTGCTCCCCTTGAAAAGTCAACTAATTTCAAGTCAATGGCGATAATTACTTAGTTTGTTGGTTGCACTCCTGCTTTTAAATATTCCCTTTTAATAATTCAGTTTTAAATATGCTAATGAGTAAATTCATTTCAATAGAATTCTAACTTAACAACTACATTTTCATATATGTTTTACATGAAAATAATTTTAGCCATTACACCAAAAAAAACTGTGTCATTGCATAAAAATAATTCGATTCGATGTGGCATAGAGTCTAACAAGAAAGATCTCTGCCCTTGACGAAAATGAATGGGATTTTGAGAACCACTTTTTCCCCTTGTATAAAAATAATTTACACACTGAACCAGAAAAGTGACGTCATTTCATAAAGATTCCATGTTGCTTAGCGCCTAAGAAACAATGGTGAATCTTTACATTATGGTAAAACTTTGGCGACCAACCCTGCTACAGCAACTTGCTAGTTGTTTTTTTTTTGTTTTTTTTTTTTGGACGCCATTTTGTTTTCACGAAGTAAAGACTTTTTTTTTTTTTTTTAACTCAACATTTTTTCCAACAATCTGCTAGCCGAATTACGCTTATGCTAGAACTTTTATGCAACAAAATGGCTTAATCATGACGAAGATTAGGTACGAAATAGGAAGAAAGTGTAGAATCGCCCATTGCTTGCCACGTTTTTAAGAATTGCATGTACACGGTATCCATGTACACGTCGACCTATTTTCACTTAAAAAAACATCCCAGAATTGCACAAAAATGGCATTGTGAACACTCTTGACTTTATCCATGTACACATCGACCTATTTTCACTTAAAAAGTCAAAGAAAATTGACAAAAATCCAATTCTTCTTACTCTTGTAAAAATCACCAAAAAATAAGTGGACGATTCTGCACTTTAGCAGCGAAATTGTTTCTAAGTGCTTGTTAGCTAAAGTCCTCATATTTTCGCAAAATGTCACATTACATGTCTCATAATCTCTCATTTCTCTGAGACAAAATAATCTGTGATTCGAACTGTGTACTTCTCAGATTATTGCTAACCTTTATCGCCTTACCAGAATGTCGCCAAACTACCTGTTACCATATTCTAAAGATTAGTCGAAACAATTACTAATAAAACAATTATTTAGTAATCAATTATTTTAGTGATCGTGGAAAAGGTTACCTGTTTTCGTCATTGAGTGGTTCATGAATGCAGCAGTATTCCTTTGTTTACATCATTGGTCCTACATAATCACGTTTATATGTTACCACATCTAATAGCAAAGGTTAATGTTCTTTGTAAACATGTCCAATAGTTTAGATGAAACTGTTGCAAATAATGTAGTATGTTTGATATAACTGGAAAGACTTGATTATAGACGTGTGTAACGTCAAAGCGTGAAAAACAGTTTCACGTTTTGAAGTTACAAAAGTCTATAATCTAAAAGTCATCTCGTAAAGAATGGCATGAAGAAAATATTTCATACGGGAGTTGAGGATGAACCATGATAACTTATTTTACGCAATTGTATAAACTATTTTTCCTTGTTGTTAAAATGACTGACTATTCGTTTTCTCGCTTTCATAATTTAAAGATATCTATATCTAATTATCTATTAAACATTCAGGAATTGGATATAAACATCCATTAGATAACTAGAATATGAATGTAAAGGAGTATCGACATCTTCATGTTATGACTACGTGGATATGTGATAGATATCTATATATGTCTGCGATAATACTACTTTATACTTGGGAAACTAAACTGTTTTCCTTAGTCATAGCAAACAAAATTTTTAGAGTTACCTCCAAGTATGAAAAATAGATAGTAGTGAGAAATACAATTTCATTTTCAGAAGGAAGAGCTTTTCATTATTATCGTAAGACTACAATTCATTTTGTTCCTTAAAGTTTTTGATATGAACGATTATGACATTTTTGCAGTTTATCAGAGAAGCCGCTGTATCCTTTATATTTTTCCAATAATCATTTTTGGATGTAACTGAAAAAGGATACAGGAATTCCTGTGCATGAAATTTTATCATTCACACAATTTGTCTACTTTTACTGTATATCCTATTTACTATTTTTCCTAACAATTATTGTATATTTTATGTCTCGTTATGAATTTTGGGTATTATTAAAGATACAAAGTACAAGCCAATACAGTCGCTGTTATAAGCTTTCTATTGTTTCATTTATTGGTTTAAAAATCAGAGGCTGATATGACCCGCGTTTTATTTGCAACAACCTGGAAAATACGCTTCCGTGAAAAACGTCAGATATGAGACCAACAAAATGTAGTTGTTCCCATAATGTACTAGAACTCTGATGAGAGTATTTTGTTGATTATTCCATGAACTATGATTGCTATGAACACATGCGAAGCGTGTCACAAATATTTAAACAACACTAGTTGGTGCATATCATCACGTCCTATTTCATTTAATGGAGCTATTGCAAACTGCGGGAAACTGAGAAGAAAAGGTTACAACTTTATACGGACAATACTGAAAAGAAGAGAGCAGGATCAATCAATTCTTGTGATCACCGGGGCATAATTTTACTGGCGTATTCTAAATTTTCACTGAACTTTACTAGCGAATTCTAACTTGTCACAGCATCCACAATTTACAATCTATTCTGCAGCCTCGTACACTACTACCAAAAGCTAAAGTTAAAGCCTTTGTCAGTAGCCTTGTAAGCTAACAATAAATTTTCCAAGAAATCTTACTTACAATTTTATTTTAACACTTTGCGCATTGATGTTTAACTTTTATGAAGGTCAATAACAAGTGATAAAAAATTATGTCGAATTATCTTTTTAATGAGGTAGTTCATGTGACATTTTATTGCTGTGAGGATTAGTAACATATCACATAATATAATGGAAGCAGAAAAATGTGACAAATTTTTAAGTATGCCAAATTTTCTTAGACAAATTGTTCGGTCACTTAATAATACCTAAAACTCTGAAACAAGTGAAATGAAAATTCTTTAAACAAATGAAAACTGTGTTTTTAGAAGAAATGATCAGTGCAGTAGAATTTGCCCTTCATGTTTCTTTTTGTGCTTATATGTCATGAATACAAAGACTTAGAATATCGATGCTTTCACTGCGTATAAATATCAAATTTTCTTTTCATTTACATCAGGAAGTGTAAAAAAGCAGTATTACGCATCTAAAGAGTACCATAACATAAAAAACAGTACAGTAGAGAAGCAATACTATACTCTTAAAGAATATCGTAGACTAAGAGAAATTTATCGAATACAGTAGAAAAGCAATACTTCAGTTAACAGTAGAAAATCAATACTGTTCTTCTAAAGACTACCATAGAGTAAGAAAAATATGTCGATTACAGTAAAATGAATTTCGTGTTGTTTTCACAAGCATAAAGTAAAAGTCTTTATTACTTTTCAAAATATAGAGTTTTATTTCTGATATTATCTGCTTCAATTCCAGTTTCCATAATACTAGATACTAAAATTGAAACAGAGAAGAGAATACTTTTATTACCACATTTTCAACATCTACACGGATAGTTCAAGACATCCATTCCTTGTGCCTTACAATAACACTTCTCACTCGAAATTTGCTTCCCAATTTTGTAGGGAGCAATTTTAAGGTATAATAAGTTACTATTTTCAAAGTCGACAGCTTCCTTCTTGAATATAAAAGAGAATGTAGGCCTTGTGTGAAATAATGTCCGTCGCCTTTGTAACCCTGTCAAAGATAAGTAATGAATGTTAGTTTTCGTATTTTGAACACAACTATAACATGTTCAAAAAACTCTTAAGCAAGAGGAAAAGAAATATCATTAACATTCACTCAGCTATTTGTTTATCATTTTCACAGATAAGAACACCAAATTCAGTTACATATTAGTTACTTAATATCATAATTAAAGAATACACATTTCATTTAGGTGTTAAATACTATCCTACCATTAAAAAATTTTCTACTTCATTTATACTCTTTAACGTAACGAAAGGAATTCCAGCATAACTGAAGAGCTTCCTACAAGGGAATTTCTCATGCACATTCTCATATTATTAACCAATGCTTACGAAGAATTAATACCAGAATCTAGGGTCAGAAGCACTTCGTTTTAAAGATTTTTAAAGATGTTTTAAAGTTACGCAACTAAAAGCCTGGAAAAAGCACACACCAAATTCCGAGGTTTTGTACAAATTTAAACTAAAAAGAACATATTATCAACTCAAGTTCAAAAATTCAAAATTGCAAGTTTAGGATAAAAAAAAACCTAACACACGATTTAACTTAGCTTAAGTTTTCACTTTTTTTAAATTTTATTATAATTGGTTGCCGAAACAGAGGGTACTTCCAAGTGATTAATATGCTTTAGAATGTTACTTTATTGGCTTAAATATAAGCCGCATATTTTATCCATATTTCATTTGTGAAAAATAAGGATGTGACTTATTAAAAAAGTGTTTACGTTTCGTCATATTTTATGCAATTAAAAATGGGCTAATTTCTCATTTTGAAATAACGAAAATGCAACAACAGCATTTTAGAAACTGCCGCATTGTTAAGGTAAAGTACCATTAATATTATCCAACAAAATATTATTGTCGAAAGTTGCAAAAAGTTAACAGAAACAGTCGTTAATAGAAACAGTAGTTAACAGAAAGCTAACCACAGTATAGTAGAAGGCTACCACAGGCATACCGTAAAATATAGCACACAACAGTAACTTACATTTTTGGTAATCTAGATTTTTCAATAATGATACTGTATTATGTGTATTGTCTTTATGACGAAAGAAAATACTGATATGTCTCTACTTACCGGTAATTATATTTCGCTGAATCTGCCGGTAAATTATTACCGGTATTTTCTTTTCTTTCCTCTGTTTATTTTCGGGAATTAGCTTTTGTTACTTTTCGCTCCTTCAGATTTTAGCGTATTGCTTACGCGGGGGCAACTTGTATTTGGGCCAATACGGCCCAATACAAGAAGACAAATAAACATATCACCTAACCTACGTAATTAGAAAGGAACGTCGATTATTTATTTGTTTTACGCGATTTATTGCAGCTACAGTCAACTGTCGGCGTCAGACTGAAAATTCAGCATTCTTTCAGTGCTAAGTTTGTAAGAGTTTTCTTTAATTATTTTGACTCTTTTTTTTTTTTTTAATTATTATGTGCCATGAGTTTTCTTAAATCAATGTGCAAAATTATGCAATATTTCGCAAGTCGAAACGCATGTGAAAAAAAAACCGAAAACGAATAAACGTGGAGTGTAAAAAAGCAGAATATGAGAAAACATGTTGTTTCCGCAGAATTATACGTCCGTTTTAGGATTGCAGCCAGATAAGGTTTTTTTTTATTCATTGCAAAAGCATATGGTTTACTTTGACTGCTCTTAGCCAACTTGCTAAACCTACTTTCGTTCGGGCAAATTATAACCGTCCCGATTGACTCTCAGTACTATACATACACAAAAAGCTCAGGAAATGAAGTGAATTTTCATAGTTTACTCTACGATTTTCAGAAAATGCAAAAATCTGAAAATTATAAAATTTGATATATCTCTACTTGCGGCAAATTAAATTAAGACAAATTACAAGAATTGAATTTTATTCAAAATAAGTCAGACAGAAATTTATAGCTTTAACATATTAGCTCTCATCAGTTCTGCTCTCTTCCCTAAGAAATTACTAAACGAAAGGCAAGGAGTCCAAGATACACCTGTTATTGGCAACAGCCTTGAGCACCTTACAGGTGACAGTGCGATTTAGCTAGTTTCGCCCACAGTTTTGATGGAGAGCACACCCCGAAGGGGGGGATTCGAGAGTCTCTAACCTCTCTTCTCCTACCAGCAACCTCTCGAGAGGACTTTCCGCTCGCCGCATATTTAGAGAGTGCCCCCATGCCGCACGGACACTTTGCATTTACAAATATCCATGCCTTTTCAGGGATTCGAAGCCAGGCCGTTCGGCACGGCAGTCAGCGACGCCAACCATACCGGCGAAAGTAACATAAAATATAAAATATATGATTACTTCAAATAAAGCCTTACAAATATATTTCCTAGGTAGTTAGGGACTTACGTTTGAGTATTCCTAATTAAGGAAGTGGCATGGGATAGAATATTAATTTCGTGTTTTAACGATCATTTGTAAGTACTCAAAACCATATTGCCTTTATTAGCCACGCTCTGACCCAATAAATGTTATTAGTAGTAATGTTTTGTGAGTGGAAAAGTGATTTAGTGGCAGTTTGGCGGAAATGAAACTTTGAATGACAGTTATAAAAAGAATGCAGGTATAAAAATAATGCAGGTTAGAGCAGGTATAGCCAACCCGCGGTACGGGTGCCACCATGTGGCACGGCTAAGTTTTAACAGTGGGATTCGAAGACTTATTGAATTAAAAGATTTGAAAAAAATAATACTATCGTCTGTATCAACTTCGTCGATAAATACACACATAGACACATTAGAATAAATATAGCAATTCAGTTTTTCTGCAAGACGTTAATTGTTACCCAGTTGAAATCCAAATCGAAATTGTTGACCTACAGCAGCATATTACAGTCAAAAGCAAATATTCAACCGCAAGTGATCCAAATTATATTGAATTTTAGAAATTTGTACCAATGAGCAATTTTCCAAATTTATCCGATTTGGTTGTCAGATATTGTTGTAAGTTTGGATCAACGCATGTTTGTGAACACGTGTTTTCTATTATGAACATAATAAAAATCAAAATATCGCTCAAGATTAACATAATATCTTCAAGAACTAATCCTAATATAGATAACTTGGTAAAAAAACTACCTATTCAGAAACCACATCAAGTACTGACTGTTTAATAGTTATTTAGAAGTAAAAGTCTGAAGTTATTCATTTTTATTTGATACGTAAAATAACTGACTGAACCTTTAAAAATGTTTATTAACAACAAAACCTTAGATTATACGTTTCTTTTATGTATTATATTATATTATTTTTTAAATGTCCACACTCAGACTTACATAAAAAATATGCTATTTGCGTAAAAGTCCCATAATCAGCTTATAAATAACACTTTTTTTCATCTTTTTATATTGTAAGGATCTTAAGTTTTACTAACATTCATTTTATTTTAAACTTTACTGTCATCTCTTTCCGGCCAGAATAAAGGCGTTAAAGTGTTTAGGCAAATTGTACTTCCTGACGCTTAAGTATTTAAGTTGTGGTTTTTTGCCAAGAGCAGAGTTAGATGGAGAGAGAGCGAGCCTTCTTGCCACTATACTTCACGCAAGCTTGCAATCAGTTGCTGTCCGCCTTTAAGGCCAGAGGTTTTAGTCCTCTCGAAAGCTAAAGACGTATTGTAGTTTTCCGCAGTTTGCGTACTACATACGTAATAATTTAAAAGGCCAGTCTTAGTGTTAGTCATTTGTGTACAGTTTTCAAAGTTAACTCTTATTTTTAGTTAATTAGTAGTTCGCATATTTTTATGTTCAGACCACAAGTGGTTGGTCTTTGTATCCCGAAGTGCGCCTGTGTATAACGCGGAAAAAAAATAAAGAGTAATTAAACCATTCTCATCTTGTCGTCTCTCCTACACTCCATAGGACATAGTTTGCAGTCAAACTCACTGTCTAGTCAGGATACGTCATGTTCGCCAAGCAGATTAGAAGAAATAAAAGTCCTGATAATATTATTTAGTATGGTTGGAAAAGTTGGAAATGGCATGCATAACTTGTTTTTCTCAGATAGTGGCACTGAGAAAAGATAGTGGCAGAAAGGTGCAAAAAGGTTTGTCACTCCTGTTTTAGAGCAACTTAAAGTTTACTTAAAGATACGTAATTTGATGGAATGAAATTTCAGGTTCCCTTTCATTTAATCATAGAAAAGAAATGAATTTAGCTTAATTATTTCAGCATTTAAATAAGTAAAAATATTAACTTTATTTAAACAACGCGTATGTACTTGCATCGAGAGGAAAAACATTCTGCATATGTACTAACTATAAAAGCTCATACTTAGTTTTTGCTACGAATTCCAAATTATTTATTTGTCTATAGTCACCAAACGCTTTAACAGCTGTATCTCTCTGTGTCCTTTTTTCGGGGAGGAGGAAACTCTATTTGGAATTGATTACAGCAACTTTATTAAAATAATATTTTCCAAGTTACAGTACGCTCTGAAGTTACCAATTTTTTATTTTGTTCAACAACAAACTTAAAATTATTCACATGGAAAAAAGCTCCAAATTGTTTTACCTTACTTTAGATGTCTAGTATTTGCCACAGTGTTTTATCCTGAATTCTCCAGTGGATTCAAATAATCTTTTATACTAATGCTCACAAGCTGCGTTAATCTATGTTCTGCATCTCGTCACAACTGATGATAGAGGGAGTGGCAACTTGATATTCTCTGCGTACTCCTAAATATAGCAGTGAAATTTAAGAAATGTGTTCTTCATTTTCGCAATAAACAGCTTTACAGCATTCGGCTCGCACTAATTGTTTGTTTATTTAAATACGGAGAGCTCACAAGGGCTAACTGCCTAAGGATACAGCTGTCTTCATAGAAAACTTTCTCAGGGAAACAGCTTTATATTTACATTACACCCAGGGAAATTCACAATAACATCCATTTACTCTCTTCCGCTTTCTGACATTAGAACCCGAATCTAACTATCAGTGTTAAGTGGTTTTTAACAACTCGGCCACTGGTGAGTTCGCTCTGATCCACTTTGGATTTGGATTTATTTGATTATGGCAAAGTCCACTGGGCTATCTGCCTAAGTGGATGGTTGGTTCTAAGAACTATTTCCTAAGGGAAACTGATCATATTGACGTTACGCACGGAAAAAAACCACAAAGTGACAAAGATACTAACATTATGTATGCACGGAAGATGCCTGTCGTATGATTTATTTTTCTAAATAAAGTAATCCGAGAGTTTTCAATGACTTTTAATATACGTATGCTACTTGCCTGTAAGCTACAAGGGCTGTACGATCATATTTAATGCTATCTGCGGAAAACAATTTACACGCATCATTGAATGATTGCATTGTGGAGGTGTTATTCGTACTTTCTTGGTTGTATGTTTTCAGTAGCATTCAATTTACAAATTCTGCAGTCAGCTGGACATCATGCGAGTCCATTTAAAATTTATTAGTGTTATAAGGTATTTCTTCCGCCTTCTGAGCATGTCTTCGTGGTGTAATGGTCAGCACACCCGACGCGTATTCGGCGGTTCCCTGGTTCGAGTCTCGGCGAGGGCATTGCTCATTTTTTATCTCTTCTGCTTCCAAAATAACCTAATGTCTTTACAGTGGCGTCCAAACTTAAAAGTTGGTGGGTGGATGATGATTCTTCACCACCAGGATTTGGCGATTGCGTCCCCTAATCCCCAGTCGCCCTTTAAAAGATGGAGTATATAAGGTATTTCTCCCACCTTCTTAGCATACCTTTGTGGTGTAGTGGTCAGCACGCTCGGCGCGTATTCGAGAGGTCCGTGGTTCGAGTTCCGGTGAGGGCATTGTTATTTTTCATCTCTCCTGCTTTCAAAAAATACCTAATGTCTCTACAATGTTGTTATTATTATTTTAATTAATAATTTCAGGAAGAACAAAATATATTGGCTATTTATTTAGTATATGGATTATTTAATTGCTTACGACTAACGCGAGAAGGCTAGACATTCTAAGAAAAACTGGCTTGTATTCATCTTGCACACGGAAAATCCTGAAAACCCCATGCAACCGGGGAGCTTGCCAGAAACGTTTCGGAAAGCTCGACTGGCTACCAATGCTCAGCAATCATATCCATTCAGCACTTGCAGACCAGGTAGGTCGGATGAGAGTACAAGCTAGTCACGAAGATTAAAATGAGGTTTTAAGTTATATTGTTATGAATTAGATTATTTTGCGAAAGGTTAAGCTGCCTGAGAAGAAAATTTTGTTGGGTGGTGTACAGAGAACGGCTTTGCGAGATACAGGTAGTGTGTAAAATTTTTATTTTCATTGGTTTTATAGCAGGAGAAGTCTAAAAATGATTTGCGCTAATTTCTAATGAAGTCCTGAACAGATTACTAGGACAATGAACTCTTGACAATGCGAACAAGGGCAATCGCTGAGGAACTGGCGCAACAAAATAAGGTGCTTACGTATTATCCCCGACAGTGAAACTGTTGCCAAGCAGGGCGATTATGGATAGGCGGGACCGATACAATACACTCCTAACACGTACGCTATCGTTTGACGGAAATAATAGTACCTTCGCGTTATCCATCCAAAGGAGGTTCTAATCTCCTTGTATCCACCCAGCTGTGAGAAGTATCATCGGGCATGTCACCAAAGTCGGCAACCCAGAATATAATGAACATGTATTTTATCTGACAACCCACTGATGGTTGCGCGCGTATTGTGACAGCACGTAATGGGCTGCGTTTTGGAATATGAAGCAAACGATCCAGTTGTGTGAATTTGTGAAGGAAGTTTCCAGGAAAGTGTTCTAATGCGAGTAGGAAACTGGTTTGAGAATAGCTTGAATATCATTTACGACAGCTGTTCTCTTTATTTATTGCTAGTCTAAAAAGTATACTTCTGGTAAGTTTTATCATTCTTACAGTTCTTATTGTCTCGATATGTTCTCCGAATACAACTACTGACTGTGCAATTATCTACGAGAACTATGCATGTATATGGAGAAAGAAATGGATTCTAATAAAATTAATTCTGAGATTTCTTTTCCTTAAGTTAAAACAGGTAGATGTGTACATGAAGAGCAGTATCAAGTTGTTGTGCGATGCAAGTCTGACTTTTTTTAATGTTAAAATAAGTGGATGTTTGTTTTATGTAATTTTGCTGCTTCGTTATGGATGTTTCTTGCGTTTTAATTTCGTTAATTCGTTGCTGTTTCATATAATTTTCAGTGCGCCTTCCTTTATTTAAAATGGTTACTATTTTCACGTGTTAGGTTGAGTGACTTGACGAGAGTGTTGGGCGGATAACGCGAAAGTACAGAAATGATTATTAGACAAAAAATATGCAGACATTTAAAACAATTAATATGATTAAAACTTAATTTTTAAAAATATTTGTATACTTTCTCCGCTCGTTAAGTATCATCGTTTAAAAATTAAACTGTTTATCTTCAGGAAATTCTACGTTTGCCTTCAATAGTTCTTCAAATTATCGCCAAATGTTAAAATTTTTATCGGTAATACAAACCAAACCTTAATAGTAAATAGATAAGATAGGAAAATATTCTAAATACAAAATATATGCAAAGAGAAAAAGGTGGTTACCTGGTATCATTAAATTCGTACCATTCTTTCGTGGATGGGTTTCGGCATTTTGCTGTATAGTGTCCTGAATTATTTGAGCCATCGTGATCAACCACACCATATAAAACATAAGAACCATCACCTGGGGAAAGTGCATAAATACCGTGAACATATATACAGATTTTGTTTCAATACTAACTATCTGTATATTGCTTAAACTCTTAACTACGCAATTTTCAGAATAAAAGTACATATTTTCTTCGAGGAAATCTATCGGCTTTCTGTACTAACATATTACACATTTCTAATAATAATTCAGTCAATAATATTTATTAGAGCAATTTTCTATTGCTAATCATTATTTAAATCTTATAAAATAGCATAAAATAATATTTGTTGAAAATAAATTAAAAAAGACTAATGAATTAATTTATCATTAACTTCTTAAGTTTTATTTTTTAAGTTCTTCAGACTAACTAGAACAAAGATAACAACACCAAAAGCTCATGAATCAACCAGTCATAGAGATGGTATCTATATTAGAGACGGTCGATCCGCTCCAGAACCGATTCAGAGAACCAATTAACTTTACTGAACGAATGATTAGCGCTCCGGCGAAAACGGAATGGCAGGTCACCGAGAGCTGTTTTTGGGAAGCGTGCCAAAAAATTTGATTCCTCTTTGTAAAAATTCTAGCATTCCTTCCTTTATTATTTATAGGAAACGTCTCTGACCTATTTTTTATGTGTGTATGTATATATGTGTGCTTTTGTTTTGTTTGTGTTCCATCTAGTATTTAAAAATCAAAATATTAAATAAATCGGCGCATCTCAACGAAAACCCCTGTTTGCGAATGGATGGAATATTTCTCCCATCTGGCAATGCGAGGATCTGTTTAACCCTTTGGGTGCATTTGATGAGTGAGATTCGTCATCTGCTTATTTGGGTGAAGTTAGGGTGGACGAGACTGACTCGTCATCTGAATTTTAGAAGCAGTCGTTGATGTTTGCTGCCACCCCTCCAGTGGGCGTTGATTGCCTGAAAAATTGCCTGACGTTTGTTTATGGCGTCTTACATTTGCAAATAAGGTTAATTCCAATCATCTTTATTACACTCTTTTGCAAAAAAATCGAAGCACCAAGAAGGACTTTTGCGATCGTGACGAAATTTGGTATGCAAAAAGATCTTGATCGAACATGCAAATGATCAAAGTTTCAAAGCAAATGAACAGGAATTGTATTGTAGGGTTTATATTTATTTTAACTAACATTTATTTTAAGTTTAAACTATCTTTCTTGTCAAGCCTTACTTTCCCCTGGAATTGCCAATGCCAGAGTATGTAAATTTTAGTAGAACGCGCAAAGTATTCAAATTTTTAAGCAGAAGTAATTTGAGTTAAATAGAAGGGAAACGAGTTCGTAAGTGTGCTTTCTTGCTTCACGAGCGTGAAGGTGGCTAGGTAGAAATTGAAGAACCGCGCGTTTCGGCCTGTGTGCTTGCCTCGGCAGATAGTTGAATCTTTCAACTTAATATTCAGAAAGTTTGCTGAAATATCAGCTGTATCTTAGAACGCGGTTAGGTTAGTTACGTTTAGAGAGCCTCGTAGGTAGTAACTTGTTATTATTCATTTTTAGTTTCTTATTTTTATTTTACCGCCGGGTCGGCGTAGTTTGTGAGCGTCAAGTGCACGCATCTGTAACTTCTAAAGTAGAATAAAAAGAGAGTTAAACCCTTCTTAAGAGTTTTGTGTACTTTCCAGTTCATAGCAGTCACTATTATTGTTGCGTGTAGCTTGGGGCCGCGCAACACCACAGTATCATAGCGCGAATTTCTAGTGCGCAATTCGGAAAGTATAAAACCAGTAACAGAGGGAGGGGGGAATTTATCTTTTTTTTTTTTTTTTTTTTTTGTTGTTGTTGCTGGCGTTGTAATTCCGTAAATAAGCAACTAAAGATGCCGTTACGACGATATCGAAGACCTTACAGACAGCTAAACGACTTCGAACGTGGTCGCATTGTAGGGTTGCGTGACGCTGGGTGGTTATACCGAGCAATAGGCCGCCACCTGCAGCGTACAGACACTTCTGTGCAAAGATGTTAGCAACAATGGTTGCTACAAGGAAATTGCCGACGAAATGAAGGCTCTGGAAGGCCAAGGAGCACAAATTCGAGGCAAGATAGGATGACGGTATCATTGTCGACTATTCAACGCACTACAGCCACGTCTGTACCTCCCGTGGTGCCGTCCACAATCTCACGGCGCTTCTTTGAGGCGGGGTTACTTTCACTGAGGGCTTTAAGACGTTTGCCTTTGACCCCACAACATCGGCGGAGACGTCTGGACTGGTGTCGCAGCCGATCATCATGGCTGCCATCAGACTGGCATCGTATAATGTTCAGTGATGAATCCTGCTTCACTCCTGAAGCAGATGACAACCGTGTTCGTGTCTGGAGAGGACGGTCCAGCGGTCCCAATCAGCCTTTGTTTTACAAAGGCATGCAGCCATAACCCCTGGTGTGATGGTGTGGGGCGCTTTTTTTTATGACAGCAGGCCATCTCTAGTTATCGTCCGTACATCTTTAACAGCTCAACGATATGTTGATACCATCCTGCGGCCGGTTGCATTACCCTTCATGGCACGTCATCCTGGGGCCATTTTCCAACAAGATAACTCCAGGTCACATACTGATCGCATATCTCTGGACTGTCTCCGTGCGGTTGATACTCTTCCTTGGCCAGCAAGGTCACCAGACCTTTAACCAATCGAGAATGTCTGGGAGATGGTAGGCCGCCAGAATCGGGCACCACAAAATATCGCAGATCTGGAGTGACAATTGATGAATGCCTGACAGAATTTGTCACAGGAGGACATTAGTAACCTCTACCACTCCTTGCCTCTTCGAATTCAAGCATGTATTGCCGCAGAGGGTGGTTCGACCAACTACTAATTTGAACACTCAGTGGGTTATTGCGAGCCGTGAACACGTACTAGGACCTTGATTTTTGAATCATTTTATTATCTGTGTATGAGTTATTCACATATTCAATTTCATCAAAAACAACCACTTCCTTCATGGTGCTTCGATGTTTTTTGCAAAAGAGTGTATTACTCCTGCATTCCCAGAACTGGATCCAGACATGAGATCCAGTTCCCAGAAAAACCCAGGTACATTTGCAAATACCACACGGTACAAAATTATTAGACTTTAATTTGGTTTTTGTTCTATATAAATATTTCTATTTTGTTTCATTTATATATTTATTTATATTTTGTAACTAAAATGCTGTTTCAAAAATATATTTATATCACCAATATAAGTATATTCCAAATAAAATGTATTACTTTTACATGTTAATCCATAAAGCGACAAATTAAATCCGTCCCATGGGCATAAAAATTTTCAAATAATTCAGTATCCAAAGGGTTAAAGCACGTAGATTATATATAGGAACTAGCTTCCCGGATTTCCAGCTCTCAGCTCTCCGGCGCTAGTCGCAGATCTAGGTCCTTCGGAGGCGTGATTATTCGCTCTTTTTCATCGCTCCTGCTCTAGCCGCAGATCTGCCTCCTGAGAAGTCTTGACTATTTGCTCTTTTCCCTTCTTTGTAGCTGTTCCTTTGAGTTTCATTTCGATTCTTTGAATACTGTGTCATAGTATAGCTATGTATATTAGGTATTTCCTCTTTTTACAATATTACTATAATATATTTGCAAATTAATAAATTATATTTTTTTATTTATTTACTTATTTTACTAAAATCTTGCAATCAAGAGCTGTGAATTTCTCTTTAATCTTCTTTATAATTAGTATATATTTATAAACACATTTATAAACATTAAATTTTTCTATCTAATGTATTTTTTCAAGGTTGCAGAACAAAATGTGGACCCTATCGAATAGAAGAAGCGTGAAAGATATTTGGTATCATTTTGTCAAATTAGATTTTTTAAAAAAAGGAAAATGCCGGTATTGTCAGCAGACAATATCCTGTTCTTTGGGATCTGCCTCCAATCTGAAAATTTATTTTTACTCTGTGCTTTGTAGTAGAAACAAAATATCAATTATAGTAATGAAATAATGTAATCTTTACCAAAACTGAATTTAGTTTTCATAATTTTTTAACGTTTAACACTTTTTTATTCCAGAATTTTATTGTTGTTCTATATAGAAAGCTTTTTTTTTTTTTTTTTTTTTTTTTTTTTTTAAGGGAATCTCAAAAGTAAGGCTAAAGGAAACCAGTCCAGGGAGTGAGCGGTTTGGTTGAGTTGATTCCAGAGATCCCCCTCCTTGTTCGATTCTTTCTGCTCTTCCCCGATCTTTGTACATCGCTCTTGATCTGAGCCACTTCCGAGAGCATACATCAACGTCATTGTTAGTGAGCGGTGAATCGTTAAAAAGAACTGATTTACTTCAGTGAGCGAACGGCTCCGATCTGATCCCTTAAAAGAGCGGTTTTGTCCTTCTCTAATCCATATAGTAAATATCTTCCAGGAATATGTAAGATTTCTTCACCTGGTGCTTTAAGTCCTAAATTAGAGATTCAAGATTGGAGAAACTGGAAATTAGCGCAGGGAAGGGGTTATTAACTAGCGTTTGTTATTCTGCTTTTAAGAAGAAAACAATTTCTTCGTATTGTAAATAGATTTGTAGACTTAGACACAGATCTTACCTGTGCAGTTCTGAGCTGCAAGTTCGGAAATATTTCCTAAGAAAAGTGGACAGTCAACCATCACGTTCCTCTTTTGTCCATAGCATGTTGCTGAAAACCTCTTCAAATCTTAAAATATATTAATTAATGAAATAACTATTTAAATTAGTTTTCTTTGTAAATGCACTTTTCATTATTTTTAACGGAGTTAAAAAGTAATAACTTCAGATAACATTCAAAGAATAGGGTAGATAAGTGTATAAAGAATATAATGCAAATATTTTTCCGTTTCATAAGTCAAATACTAATAGAAACCAATTTAATTATAGGAAAAATATTATTTTAGAAAATATATGCTTGTTTAGCTTTCGAAAAGTATGAAATTTTAACAAATTTTGAATTTATAGTCTATTTTAGTAAAGTTGTCGTTTTAGTTTTAATAAAAATTAGAAGTAATTAAAGTACTTTCAAGACAACTATTAACTATTTGTCTTTCATGCTTCTTATTCATTCTAAAATATTCAGTATGTTTTCCAAGTTACGACAAATAAATCAAATTACAGAAGTGTGATATTTAATGTTATTCATTTTCAAAATTGGTTAGTTATTGGAATATGGTAAAGCCCACCAGGGCTATTTGCCTAAAGGAGGAGCGGCAGAGGAATATTTAAGGGAAACTGGCTCGTATTCGCATTAAACATGGGTTAAATTACGAAAACCAACCGTGCAACCAGTCCGTTAACTGGCTTCTAACCCAGGACGAACTATCAATATTCAGCAGTATTTTCATTGCTCTGCCATTAACGGGCTTTTTAAAGTAGCATAATTAATTTATTCAGCACAGCATAAAATACAACTGAGTACAGTTAGATAAGTCAGTATCTTGGATTTACAAAACAAGTCTCTCTTCAGCACAATGCCTTGATATATCTTCCATGATAGTCGAGATATGGCTGCCAATTTCCCTGTACACTTGTCATGATGCCATATATAGTGTCCTGTAAAACATCCGCAATTTCCTGTTGAATAGTACTTTTAAGACATTTCCTGTCAGATAAGGTGTTAGGGCTCACCAGCGGCCGAGCGGTAAAGTCGCTGAACACTGGTAGTTCGGTCCGAGGTTCGAATCCCGCGAACGGGCTGGCTGCATGGGCGTTTTCGTGGTTTTCCCCATGTGTAACGTGTATACGAGCCAGTTTCCCTTAGAAAGTCCTCCACGAAGGCATTCCTCCTCTTAAGCAGATAGCCCTCGAGGCTTTGCCATACTCACACAGATAAGGTGTTAATAAAAACTTGGTGGTGTTTTTCTCTCACATCCTACCTGACATTAACAGCATGAAAAATTGAATTCGTCAGAAGACCTCAAATGTTATGCAGGACTTTTTACATCTTGCCATGGAGAACAAGTCTAAGATGTTATACTGAGGAAGGGAGGCTTCTTTTCTGAATCCAGATTACTGACTTACAAACCGTGTTTAGTTGTCTAACCATTGCTGTACACAATAAATATATTATCCTACTTTGAACAAGGGTAAAGCTAAATGCTTCATCCTGCATTTAATTTCAATTATTCTTTGACTTAATTTTTATGCAGTATACTTCTCTAATTGTGAAAATATTTATTTGTAGTGATAAACGATTAATGGTGCAATTTTTATTACTGATGGCATGAAGAGTGTGATTTGGTTTGAAATTTCATTATGATTATCAAGATTTCTGACGAACGGCGTAATGGCAAATTTATCATCCTTTCAATGTAAAACTATTTCTTTAAAGGTAAAGTACAAAATCATATTTGTTAAATTGGTCAAATACTTTTAACCTTAGTCTTAGCTTTCTTATGAAACTATCAGGGTAAAAAGCATTGTTTAAAAAAGGTGATATTTTAAAAAGGATACGAATGACCAAGACTTTAGGGAATTTGCTGACTTCCATTTTCTTACTAGATCTACTTTTCTTCTTACAGACTTCACAATACTGGAAAAAGAAAATTTTGTCAAATTATATATAAATATCCAGTAAGGAACAAATACATAAATATTCCCATCATATAACATGGGAAGACTTTTAGTTCGAAAAATTCACAATACTGCTTCGATTGCAACGCAGTAGAAAAAATTACTTCAATAACACAAGAGAAATGAAATTAAGTATAACTAAATATTAGTTAATTTAATTCATTAAAAAATGTTTCGCGTACAGTTTCAATTGTCTGTTTCGGCGAAACGCGATATGGAGTTAACTTGATTCGAAATTCATTAAAAAATAATTTCCCCTGATGTGCCTTAATGAGATTCCAATTAGGCTAATCTGCCATTTACCCTTCTTAGTTTTTATATATTTTTTATATTTTTGCTCAAATAATTTGTTAGTACTTTTACTAAGTTTTAAATTTACCTTAATTAGTTTAGCATATTGCTTACTATTAGTATTGATTTCCACTTGTAAATATTCTAATATTGTATTTTTTCTCTTGTAACGCATTTAATTTCAACTAATTTTGCTTATGTTAATGTTTTAACGGAACCACAGTATTTCAGCGGCTTTTTAACGTACGAACTAGGATTTTTCTTTTAACATTTTTCTAAATTTTGCTGCACAATGCGCAGATTTTTTGACCACATAGGTCTTTTATCGTTTGTTCTGTTTACTTTACTTTAAATATTAGTTCTAATGTAATTCTTAGAACTTTTTTATCTTCCTCTAATTATCATATCAGGATAAAATTTGGGTATATAGGATGGTATAAAAAATCAGTAACAATTCAAATTTACGTTTTAACGAATTTAAAACACTTAGTAACGAAACTAGCAGAGATAGATATAAAATATGGGTAGAGTTTTTAAAGAATTTTATATATAAAGTTTTTAGATGAAATGTATACTGTATGTACTAGATGACACTATAATCTGGAATCCATAATATATTGTTAACTTGATATTGAACAGTATTTCTTTTAAACCGGAAGAAATGCAAGCCTTCGGTTTCGTGATATTCATGCAGGAGGAGCAGAGCCTTCTGGAAACAATGGAACAATAAGCCATTACTTCAACTATGAATGTCCAGGTTTCCAGACTTGAAGTTCTGTGAACACCGCGGATCATCGAAAACACCGCGGCAAAAACATCGCGGACGAAAACGTCGCGGAGAAAACAACGAAGGCGAAAACGCTGTGGTTACAAAACATAGTGGGAGAAAAGAAAGCAAAGAGAAAACATCGCAGTTCTAAAAAACATCCTGGTACAAAATATTGTCGTCGAAAATAAAGCGGCTCCAAAACTTTGCAGTTTAAAAGCATGGTCGTCGAAAATATCGTAGTAAAAAATAAAGCTCCTACAAATCATCGCATGACGATAACATAGCACACATGTGCTTTTCAGGTTTCAAAAAACTGTAAATGCATATTCGCATAAAGATTTGGAAGGTCAAGAAATGTTAACGACACTTTAAGAATAAACAGAAACAAAACAGGATATAATTCCACCCCAAAACAATATCAGATTAACAAACGTAAAAGAAAATAATTTGATAATTAACTAAGCAATTTTTATAGAGATTTTTTATTGCAGAATAGATCTTACTTAAAAAGTAACGCTCGCATAATTTACCATTTTAAGAGCATATAGAAAATTTTTGATACTTCTCTTACTATAAAAAATTATGGCAGTCCCTCGTGTGTGGTAGCATGTTATATGTGGTTAGCCTGTCTAGCGGGCAAATGGAAGATCCGCGGTAAGAATACAGGCGAAGGTACAATTCTTTTCTCAGGTTTTCCTGGCCCCCAAATCCTATTAGCCTTTTCATTTATTCTAAATAAAGTTTTGAATCGGTCATTTATGATTAAAAACTTGTGAGCATACGTAAGCCACGAAACAAGGATTCATGTGGCCCTTTTAAAAATATTAAAGTTTTTAAGATCCTATTTAGGTATATTAGACTCATGATTGAGACAAAAAATTCAACTCATTAAAAAGTAAGCGAAAACAGCTATGACTTTATCAATAAAATAAGTAATTACTGGGAAAGCGCAACCTAATTCTTGCCTGTCCCGCTATTTATAGTTCCGTGGCACACCAGGCGAATCGTAATGTGCAGAGACAATTCAGTTAGCGCTGACATGGGTAATGTATACTAATGTGTCATACCGAAGAAGCGTATGGTTTTTCCAACTTGACTTTGCATTCAGAGTAGTGATTTGCAATAGTCTGGTCTCATGTAGCTAATTTTAAAATTTTGTTGTCCATTTCCAGTTTGTTTACAGAAGTTCTAGGACCCTATTTCAATAACACTATTCGCATGATTAAGTAAAGCAAACTTCAACTCGATACAGTACGCGGAAAGAACGAAGAGTTTATCCCTAACTATTCACTACTTCGTAAGCGCAACCTGGAAGAGGTTGAGCTAGATAAATAGTGACGTTATACACTGATCAGAAAAAACGTTATGACAACGCAGATACTATGAGAATGCGCTCATCAGAATGACGTAGATGGCAGATGAAAAGATGGAAGTAAGTATTATTTAACAGCTGCCGAGGACACTGAAGCATGAATTGTCAATTACGTGGAAGCGTAATAGGAAAGGCTACTGATTTAAAAAATCTGGATTATGATGGCCAGAAGGCTAAGAAAGAATACCTCTGAAATTGAATGGCTCTCCAAATGTTCGCCAGCTGTTTTTTTATTTAACAGCTGCCGAGGACACTGAAGCATGAGTTGTCAATTACGTGGAAGCGTAATAGGAAAGTCTACTGATTTAAAAAATCTGGATTATGATGGCCAGAAGGCTAAGAAAGAATACTTCTGAAATTGAATGGCTCTCCAAATACTCGCCAGCTGTTTTTTTAACTTGTGAAAAGACAAGAAAAGAGAAGGAAAAGAGAAGAAAGGAATCGAAACTGGTAATAGACGCCAGGGTATTAAATGCCCATGCTTGATCAATAAATGCAAATACGAATGAATTTCCCACTTGGTGAAGGCAAACAGGCTACCGCTGAGAGCACAACTGATACTGTATAGTAATAAGTACAAGTAAATACGACTATATAAGCTCAACGGACTCTGTTGAGTATGCGTTCGCAGTATATACCGCTTATGTGCCTTTATTAATCGACATCATCGACTTTCACGACTACAGTAGGCCCATAATATCGTGACTGGACTAGAAAAGAGTTGCCTAGCCAAAGGAATCATAATTTCCTTTAAATTACGTTGATACCCGTATTAGCGTATGCCACCTTTTGACGTAGGGATGATCTATACAAGTACTGAAAGATGTAAACAGGCCGATGTTGGATCTATTACACTTTGGAGAGGTTCTGAAGGATCTTTCTGGACTTTAGATGTTGTAGAATACACCAATCAGTCACTTTCAGACTATATGAGTATCATTGCTGATCAGTTACATTGTTTCATGGTTTATAGTTTGTTACTGAAAGTGGACTCTCACAGCAGGGCAAGGCCTTCTTGTTAAAAGACTGGAAACGTACTTTAGTGGTTTGAGTCACACGCTGACAAATTCTAGCTGATGTCCTGCCTTCTAAACTCTCCGGATATTAATTCTATTGAGCAATCTGGGATGTCATGGAGCACCAACTCAGAGTTCACTAACCTTCTGCTGGAAATATAAAGGAATTGCGTGACTTTTACTTGCATTTATAGTACAATATTCCTCTAGACACCTACCAAGGACTAAAATACGTGCCAATAAAGTTGTTACTAGAGCTAAAGTTCTAACTTTATCCTTTAAAATAATAACTTTATCCTTTAAAACTCAGGAAAAAGGAACATGCCTAATATGTCAAACAGAAGAAAGGGAAAAGGTATCCATTAGCATCCCATTGTTGAGATAAACACCATATCTTTCATCTTTTGTAGGCCAAAATTACTGCTCGCCCAAATTCCTCTCTCAATTTGAATTTCTTAGACGTTTTCGAAATTTTCATGGATAGCAATCTCATTAATCACTTAGTTTTCGCTCCAGTCCTATCGCAGGCTGTAAAATGAGTACCTACTCGGAGCCCCATCTCTCTCTCTCTCTCTCTCTTTTTTTTTTTTTTTTTTTTTTGTCAAGTATAACTTCTGCGTGAGACATCATTCTACTACACTTTCCATAATAGCAACGTTTTGAAACTGGACCGAGCTCCAACTGAACTGCTGTGAGCGATAATTTTTTAATTTTAGCTTATTAGGGCTATTTTTTAAAATTTAACAGCTTCATTTACTTACTACACTGTAGAGTGTTTCACGACAACGGTGTAAAAAGAGCTATTTTATTATTAATAAAAATATATATGTATTTTTCATTTATACCACAAAACATATTAAAAGTAAAGGTAAATTTTGAGAACTTGGGATACTTGGGGATAAAAACTATTACATTAAGTGCACTTAACACTCCATTCATATTAAACTAATGAAGACCTGGAAGGCATCATCCAAGAATCAAAATGGAGAGCTTACACAAATCTGGAAATAGTCATTACTATCCCAGATCAGTAGAGCTATTTATTCAGATAGATTCAAAGTGGAATTAATCCAATGTGCTATAACATCAGACCCACAGCATGTATAAAACAAAATTAACTTGACATGATTTATACGTCTATAGACCACTAACAGTATATTCTGGAATCACATGTGAGATATGGGTCTTTTAATTCATTAATCAGTAATTTTTTAAATTGGGAGTGCGACTGTCAGGAGCAATAAAAAGTTAATAGAATAATAAAGTATAAATAAAATTAAATGTAAATTATGATTAAAGCATTAGAAAATTAGGCTGAATTATGATAAATAGTTAAAAAATTAAATTTAATATAATTAAATAATAAAACATGAAAAATAGTACATTATTAATAAATTTAAATCGTATCATCAAATGAAATTGGAAAACAAATTTTAAATGCGTAAATTAGTAGAAACAAGACATGGTTCGACAGCTAAAAGAAAGGTAATTATTTTAAAAGCTAAACTTGGAAATCATATAAATTATGTTCTTAAATTTACTTTTCCTGAGGTTTTCGTAGTTCAATAAGGAAGTTTGGCTCAACATTTTTTTTAAAGTTTTCCATCTGTTTTCTGCTCCCGGAGAAAATGAGAAGACATATATTCAGTGTCTAATATCAATATCAGCTTTATTAACTGTTGAAAATGTTGCAGTAATAACTGTTTTTTCTGTTAACATTGCGATTCAATTTACAAGAAATTCTAGAGCTCGTCTTGTCTAAGGCTGCATGATCTCAAACACACAGCAATAAGATTTCACTTCAAAACCGAGAACAGGAGGAGGCTTGGATGTATTCCAAGTGATTTTAAGCCCTGGTGGGTCAGTTTGTTGATATTTTGAATAAACATAGATATGTACGTTAAAAATATGTAACTGAACGGAGGAATAATGCCAACTGTTCTATGCATTTAAATACTCAAAAGAAATGAAGTAATTGTCTTAACGGCATCAAACATCAAAGAAACTGGAATCATTTTCAGTTAATATTGTGTTAACTAGCAGTATAGTGTGATATCATACTGAAATTCATGGCTCTTCTTAACTGGTGTTGAGAAGAGCCATTTTTAAATGCCAGATATGAATTTAAATACCTGAAATAATTCATATGGTTAAGAAAACATTTCGATATAAATTTTACCAACATGTCATTTAACGTTGTTACTGCAATGTTTTCTTATGATTAATATACTGACCGGCTTATTTGCTCCATCCAAATATTCATTTGCCGAGAAAAGATTGAAGCACTGCCTCAGAGACACTGTTCGCCCGCCCTATGGAATATAACACATTTTCAGACATTTCAAATTTAATTTCAATAAATAAATAAATAATGTACTATGTGTTTCTTAGTTCCTTCAAAAGTCAAAAATCTTTTCTTTTCAAAAATCTTAATATGCATTGTTTGACGATTAATTGCTGAGAAACAACTACATTCAAATTTTCATTTCTGACAGCTGCGTATTCGCAGGAAAAATAAGTGTAGGGGGCACCAGTAGGGCGAAATCACTTATTCGTATGAAAGGTAGTCCACTACTCTTTTTTCTGTTTGGTTTATTTGATTACGGCAAAGCAAGTTAGGACTATCTGCTTAGGGGTAGGGATGGCCTTCGTGTTGAGTTTTCTAAGGGAAACTATTTTGTGTCGGCGCTATACACAAGAAAAATCGCGAAAACATTTATACAGACAGCCCGTCCGCTTGGAATAGAACTCAGGTCAAACTACGAGCGTTCAACGACGCTATCACTCGGTCGCTGGCGGGGCCCATTCACGTTGTTTTCTTATTCGTGATTACAAGCAGCAACGATTGACAGAAACATTACGTTCTCGGTTTCTGATATTATTATCGTAAATTTTCAGTTTTACTCAAGTATTGACTACAGACTGTCTGCAAGGCGTACGATCAGTATTTCAGTGCGTACGATCTTGGTCGAGAGGTAGGATATCTCGAGGCAAGGTAAAGTATCACTCAAATTGTCAGAGCAACAACTTGTTGAAGAGTGCTATCTCGCAGGTAAAAAAGACTGCCCAAGGTGAAAGTGCTGTGTGAAAACTTGCTGGAGGCCGTAAGAGGATCACCAAATCGCAACAGGATAAATAACCCCTTTTGTCATAGTGGCGAAGATCAATAAAATTCCTGCTTCTGGTAAGACAGCCTTACAAACGCTTCTGCACTCGCGTATCCGAGATATAATTTCTCGGAGATTAAATAATGTTGTTTTACATGCACAGAAGTCTGCCACATATATTCCGCTGCGAGCGCACCATCGACGGGAAAGATGACGTTGGTGTAAGAAGCATATTCTTTGGGTCCAGAAACATTTCCTCTGATGAATCAGGTTTCTCCATCAACAGTGATTCTTGACACCGTTTAATGTGCAGAGAGAAAGAACGCGTCGCAGTCCACAGTCACTAGAATATCTAGGGCACTGATTGCTGTGGCCGAGGAGTAATTGAGTGTTCGGGTATAAAGTGCAATGTTACTACATTGAAATTCTGGACACAGAAAATTACAGAAAAATTCTGGATTATGTCCGTCTTTTTCGAGGTGCAGTTGTTCTTAATTTTGTTTTCATCGAAGATAATGTACCCTCGCACAGGACAGGACAGTTGAAGTATCCTACATACTAGCCGAAGAAAATATTGAGAGCATGACATGGAATACATATTTCCCGGAGCCCAAACCATGCAGCACTCCTGGGATCTACTTCGAAGATGTATTGCTCAAAGACAGGATCGCCCTAGAACCGTACAGAAATTCGAAACCGCCTTAAGAGACGAATAGGAGAGGATCCTCCAAGATCTCCTCAATAGTTTATTGGAAAGCACGTGTAACAGGTACCAAATATGCATAAGTCTTTGAGAAGGTCACATTCCATACTAATGAACTCGTATCTGTAGAACGAGCATTTTTTTGTGCAGCTGAAAGTGAATGAAAGGAATATTTTTTTCTCCTATTGTTTATCTTGCTTCCCATGACGCAACATCTCTACTATTTTGCATGTGACATTAGCTGTGGCGAAAAATGATCGTGTTCCTTAGAAATTGTCCAGCAATGAATTGCATCCTAAACTCATATCTAAGTATGACTGTCTCAGACTGAGGCCTCAGTTACTGCAAATCCGTTCAGGCTAGTACTTTTCAATTCAGACTTGATAAACATAGGCTAACACAGGTGCAGGGTCAGCGCTAGGCATTTTGCTCCGCGGTGAAATCTTTGAAAGTCCCGAATTCTGCTGACCAGTGCAGGCCCTAAAAATTAATCCATTTATTCTAAAAATTATATCGTTTCCAAGTGTTTTTGCTCGGTGCTTGACTTAATTCTAAGAATTTGCAGCCCTTAAATCCTGCCGCCCGGTGTAAACGCACCACTGGCACCAGCTCTGGCCCTGCATAGGTGAGAGACAAAATTCAACTATTGAAGTAACTAGTCGCTGTATATGGCGATATTGAGAAATTTGTGTTGTTCGTTATCAAACTTCAGTTTCTTTTATGATTTCTGCCCACCAACGGCACAGCGGTAAAAGCGCTGAAAACTGGTAGTTCGACTTGGGCTCATATCGCGGCGAATAGCCCATCTGCATATTGGATACGAATCAGTTTTCCTTAAAATGTCCTCTGAAGTAGATAGCCTTCGTATACATAAGTAAGGCATTGTTCTCTAAAGTAGCCTTCGTATACATAAGCCTTATGTATACTTACTTATGTATACTTATGTATAAGCCTTATGTATACTTATGTATACGAAGATAGCCTTCGTATACATAAGTAAGGCATTGTTCTCTGAAGTAGATAGCCTTCGTATACTTTACCGTAAACTAAATAATCCTAATTCTTTTATGATTTCTCTTTCTCTTCCAATGACTTATGCACTCGTGTGTGTAATATTATTCGTTATGTTGATAATGATGGAATATATAAAAATTTCCTGGAATAAAGTACTATGGCAACAGAGAAATTTTTTGTGTTAGTTACAAACTGCCTATGATTGACAATTACCCTTCTAATTAACTCTTCGAAAGATTTTAAAAATTGAACGTTACTGCAACGAGGATAATTTTATTATCTGCTTCATGAACGTTTTGCTAAAAGCCCTGTGAGGTCGTCTTGCATCTTTGAACTAATGCGGAATTGACTAACTCTTACATACTGCTTGACTCTTTATTTACATACAAATTAAGAAAAGGTATTTCAGAATTTTTCCTAAAGCCCTATTACTCAAGTCTCTGGTAGAATAATTTGCAAAGACACCTCTTGATTAGATATTTAAAGATATTCAGATTTTCCATTAACTAAAGTTGTCTGTATTATTATAGAATAAAAACTGTTTTTATCTTTTATGAATCATGTATAAAGAGTTAAAGAGTTAACAACAGTTGCTAAAAGTTTCCAACAGTTGTTATTTACCTATATACTGCTTTCCTGCTTTCTATCATGAAAAACTGCTATTGAAGTCAATATACAAAGCAATCTGAGTTATAGATCAAAAAGAAAAGAATTATTAGATAAAGATAATCCTTCTTTGAGAAAATGAGAATGAAATTCATAATTGACCACTAATGAAGTTGTTTGTTCACTTCTATGGCAGGAAAGTTTTCATTTCACGTAGGCGTTATTTCAGAGTAAGATTAGAAGTATGGCTTTGGTGCCAAAGTCAGGGCAAATTAAGTTTAACTTAGCAGAAGTTCCTCAAAGTTTTTAGCTAGTTAAATTTGAGCGTGCAATGCATTCGATGCCCTTTAAAATACTTTATTTAAAATTTTGTTATTTTAAACGAATTCATATCTAAAACTGATTTTAAAAACAAATTTACTTGAAAAAATTATTTTATTTTTTTACAGAAGAAAATCTGTAGGAAAAAGCGTTCTCAAATACGAAATTTTAACCGCACTATATTTAAAAATTATACCCGATAACAAAAAACTGAAAAAAAAATTAAGCTTGGTAAAATTTGAACACGACGAATTTGCAAATTAATGTTTCCAAATAGTTTAATTTCGGAAAAGAAATTTTGTTCTTTGAATAAAATTCTATATAATGGTAGTTTAAACCCTTTCAGGGAATAATAGAAGAACAGATTATGCTAGATGAATAATTGCACCACTATTATCCGATAAGAATTGCTTTTTGCTTTATAAAATTTTCCCCTCAAAACAAATAAAAATTAAATTTGAAACAATTTAAAATCATATAAAGCATTCAGTCAATTAATATCATTATTAAAATAGTACATATATAAAGAAGGCGTGGAATAATAATAATAAAACCTAACTGCTTAATATATTTTACTATTAATTTGCAATCTGTTAAAGTAATTTAATGTCCTGAAAAACCTGACAAAGAACTTTTTATGCTTTCAAAGTACAATACTGCAGTGGCATTTAAAAACTGGATTGGTTACCTCTGGAATCGGTACAGAGATGTCCCAGAATGGATCATGAGTAACTGAGTCATTATTGCAGATAGTGCATTTCAGGGTACTCTTCAGCTGACCCGCAAATAAATCTGGAATGGAGAACTATTACTTGCATCGAGTTTGCATCACATTACCATACCTAAAACAAAATGCAAGCGTTTTTTGGATGCCACTTGACTAAAAATTTGTCTTTTTCTAATCTAACATGGAAAACAATTAAAGTTTCTCTTTCCACAGATGTTTTAACACATTCTTATTAATAAATGCAACTAGCTTTCTTTTTTCTTTTCAAAATCTGATAGTCAAACGTTACTGAAATTTACGACTACATCAGTTTATACTAACATCAAATAATTCGCCTTAGTTTTACTGTCGTAAGTTACAGAGTTTTAAGAAGACCTGTACATGCACGTTCAGGATAATAAGATGGGATTTATGTGCCCGTAAGCAGATGTAAATTAAAAAAAAATTATTAATGATTCACTAAATTTACAAAATTTGAGCAAAAGTAACAACGCAGATAATTATAATAATAGAGTATCATAAATGAATCATATTCAGTCAGTTACATATTTACAGTTGAAAAAATCTGCCCGGACAGATGACCATTCCTAAATGAGTCTGGCTAGTTGGTTCAGACTAACAGCAATCCAACTTCAAATTCCAGATATATATCGCTGAATCTGTGGGCGAAACCATGTTTAAAGTATTATGAGAAAGTATTCTTTCTACTATTAAGGCAGAACTTCAAGAGTTTTTCAATCCTGCAGCTTCTTAATGCTTCGCGCAAGAGTAACAAGCTTCTTTTTTTTTAATTTTAATTCTGAAGACATTTCTTGCTGACGTTACGCATGATCATCGGTGTAGTTTCAGCGGTGTGTAGTCTAGAAAAAACTGCTAAAGAGAACGTTAACTAATAATGTCTTGATATTATTTAAAAATAAAATATTAAAAATCTATTTAAAAATAAAATTTTCCAGATGGTCATTGGTATTTTGATACGTCTTCTTCTCCCCCCGGAAAACTACTGTTTAGTGCTAACTAAAATTTAATAACTTTAATAATTATATGAAATCCTACTGTTGGCAGATGATGCTTTATATTTAACTTAACAATTTATATCTTTTAGACTTGGCTTCGCAATAATTGTTGCAGAACTTTTATCTAGCTATTTTGGCTCATTTCTGCGTTTTCTCAAATGGCAGGATTTGTAGCATTTGCAATTTTGTAGTATGTAGGATTTGTAGGAAATACCAAGATTTGCAGCATTTTCTCAGACTTTTGTATATTTCAAATCATTTCTGTTTAATTTTAGTTGTGGTCTCCATGTTCTGTTAATATCTATGGGTCATACTTTGTAGAATACGTGTCACTTCACGCCAAAGTTATGTTACATAGAAGTGAAGGGACCACCTAATATTTACCCTACGTAAGTAGGTATTAGCCCCACACACTAACTATAAAACTAACAACATTCCGGCATTATTTTCCTCGAGTCGTGATGGAAATTGTGGCTCCAGGCAACACTACAATTTCTGCTATCACCGGCAGCATCGACGGCACTCCTACTTTTCAGCGTTAAATTAGCTCAAGTAAAATGGATTACATTACATGATATACATAGTTGTACAGGTGCATGATTGAAGATGTTATCAATTGTAGTGGGTACAGGCATCATGTTTCAGGACATTATATATTGCAGTAGAAAGAGGCGTGATGTTCCCACGTTACAAATCATTTTTGCAAACATGATCTGTTTACATCAGTGTGTTTACTATCAGAATTAAGTTAAAACTATAAAATTGTTTACAAAGCTTACATTTAAGTACTGTTGTATAGTTGTGCTGAAACTTTATCAATTCAGTTTTGACTATTCATTATGTGCTGTTACGCATGTTTTTGCGATAATTGATTTTCAGAAATTACATTATATCTAGCAGTATATTGTTATTCACATGTACAGATTGATTGTGAGATTATAAACTGTGGTGGCTAAAAGCAACTTATTTCGAGTTTATAGATCATGTTTACAATCATGACTTGTTTACATCATTACTTACAATCAGCAGTCAAAATTAGAAAGAATATAAAATAATAATAAAAAGGATATAAATAAGAGGAAAACAAAAAAAAAAAGACTCCTCGCATACTTATGCGTATACGTTCTTTCGGATATTTCTGCATACATATGCTGGTACATTGCCAACTTGTTTTTGTAAGTTCATTGTATGCAATTTCGTGTGTTTTTACAATAATTAGTTTACAAGAATTACATTTCACGATACATTGCATTGTTAATACTTTACCAACTCAATGCTGGCAATTTATTATACGTGTTCGCATTTCAGGTGATGTTACCCTATGTTACATAGAAATGTAAGGAGTCATCTATTATATACCCTAATTAAATAGATAGTATCCCCTTACCTTACTTGTGAGTGTCCCTATGTTCTGCTTCTTGTGGTTTGCGGTGTTTATTTCTTTCCTGTAAAAGTACGTCCGAGTATATTATATCTGCATTTAATTGCTTTGTTTCGCTGTTGCTGGAGTATTTCTTTAATGGTTAATTTACACTACATAGCTCTTGACAGCCAAAAAGCAACGCATTCAGGATACTTCCCGCCAAGTATCCCTGAATGCGTTTGTCATAGCCGAGATGAATATATTTTCAGAAATTTCTTCAAATGTATTTCTAACATATGTCGAGATAGCAGCGTGCTAACCTGATCATTTCTATTCATGTGTTAAGAGTACAGGAAAAGCTCTCGAGAAGATAATCTGTCGCAAGTATTCACTATGAATTCAAAGCCATAACTATTAAATCTGCTTAAACCATCAACACAATCATTCATATTTTTCGCAACGTGCAAATATGAGCTTTAATCAATATCACCAACATAAATTCCTAACTGAAGATCTTTTTCTAGCCCTTATTCAGGATGTTCTGCGGATATAATGACTTGTGGTTTATAAGTTTAAGTAATGAGTCTCCAGAGCTCTTCATAACATTTCTCAACACTTAACTGCGTCATTAAGTGTGTTTAACTGCGTCATTAAGTGTGTTTTATAGAGCCACTACATATGACTGAAACAGTATTAAATCCAGAACAAACGCCTCTCAAATTTTACTTAAATTTCTTTCGAGAAGAATACCTGCAGCGATTTTGAAAGTTAAATGCTTCCTTTTTTTCCTAGAAGGAAATATAGTGTCCTTGCATTCCCCGAAGTTTTGCGAATGGATTGTAGTTATATTTTCCATCACCTTCGATAGCTGAAAATACACACATATCCCAGACTTAAGAATAAGCACATTTTATCCTTATGTACAGAAAACTGTACTTGAATGGGAAAAAGACGAGTTGTTTTATCTCCTGAAACCTAACACAAAATAATAACCAACAGACAGAACTAAACAAATTTAAACAATAGTAACAAACTTTCTGCAGGAAACTTATGCATAGGAATTACGCTTAGGTGAAATATGGTTCTAAAGTACTTACCAATGATCATGTAATTTGACTTCTCAGTCGGAAATACCTCCACTTCAACTGCTATGCAATAATCAGTGTCGTGTCACGATTATTATTAAGCGATGTAGGAATTTCTGGAGCAGACTTTTACTTTCCTCTTCTAGAGCACGATTTAAGCCTCGCTTATTTTTCGCGAAAAAAAGCGAGCTTAGGTTCATCTTCCCATATTGTCCCTACGTAATGAAGCATGAAATCTAGGAAGCATGGATCTAGCTAGGGAGATGGATTTTCACTTTTCAGGAGATTCTCCTCTGCGGAAGGGCATTATCATTCTTAAAAAAATGCTACACTATTGGCACCACGAAACAAGCAAACATGGCGTAAAACAAACTCTTTACAACAGCAATCGTTCAACTTGAGTCAATTATCCAACCATTTTACCTCAGTTCGTTCATTATTCATGTCGTCAACCCACACCATTGCGCCAACAACACTATATAAAATATTTATAGTATGCCTTAACTATCTCTCGCTAAGTGAAATGAAGTCTGAAATCCTGTTGAAGACTGGATCTATGCTGTCCTTATCAGACGGAATGTCAGTTTGTAACAAACGAATCGTAACTGGATATGAAATGATATTTGATTAAAAAGTAGTTATATATAACGCGATGACTATGAGATCATAATGATATGATTATACATTTCAATATGTGTGATACATAAAGTCTAAATTAAGAAAACTTTCGTTCTTTGTCTTTTAAAGTTTCCATAATAATTGTTTTGCCTATAACAATGGAAAAAATATTTTATATTTTATATAAAAATAATAATTTTTATTTTATATAAAACTATTTTATATTTTTTCCTGCGCTGAGAAGTAACGCATTGAAGAAAACACTTACAAATATTTTAAATCAATTCACAGTAAAAATTCTCATCAAACATTTGCAGTAATATAAAATATTATGCTTACCGACAATTAAGCTATCGTCAATTTCTCGGTATTTCCTCCACGTTCTGAAGGAATCACTAAGGGAAAATAAAAAAAAAAAATTACACACAAGAAAAATGTACACATCTACGAAATTCACATTAGCGTTTCTAGTGATATACAGCAGTTTTCAAAAATCATGGTTTACGCCTAAATGTTATGGCTTATGCATTCAGAGATATGAAGTGCATGCATATATTTACGAACACAAGCAGTCTTAAGAGATAAAATTCATACCAAAGGAAAAAAGTTAATTTCAGTTTATTTATTAGTTACACAATGTTTACTGCATGAAACCCAGAATAAAATATTACTTGCCCCGAACCAGAATCTCTTCGTATCGTCATGTTGGAACTGACTTTGACACGATTGATGTCGTCATGAAGACCTTGAAGAAGGTACCTCAAAAACTCCTGAGCATCTTGTTGACTGTGTGAAATAAACAAAATTTCTCCAAATGCTGACTTTGATTAAATTATTCATCATAAATTGTAATAGGAAACTATTTCACTGCCTTACGTATTAATATTTGTGTTATCTCATAAATGGATTTATATAATTTTTAAGGGCTGCACTATGTTTACACAAATGGAAAATTCAATATTTCTTAACGAAATTTCTTAACTAGATATAATTAATATTTCTTAAATTAATTTCTTTAATATTTCTTAACTAGATATAATGTAATTTCTTTAACTTCTTAACGAAATGCTTATTTTTAGTTTTTAATGAAACGTGGATATAGATATTCTATACAATAAGCTAATTGTTAATGTTAAACACAATATGACTCAAACTGGGGTTAAATAGTAAGTTGAATAAGTAATACCTCTGGTGTCATTACTTCATAACAGCATTAAAGTTTCCTCAAATTTCAGTTACCATCAAATGAGTAAGCAAAGATTAGTTTCATTAAATTCAAATTCTCCTCGATAGAGATCTTCTCTCTGAGTAAAATCCAATTCCGTGCCGTTTTGTTCTGTTGCGACATATCGTAGTTGTCTAACCCTAACATCATACTGAGTTTCATGCCTCCATGAGTGTTATGGTTACCAAAAGGCAATGGTTACGCTTGTCTTTGACTTGGGCACCTTATAAGCGACATCACGAATTTGTCCATTTCCTCCTAATGTTTTAAGAAGAATCGGCAAGAGGATTTTAGATTCTGCAGTATTTTAAGTGCCTCCATGCCATATAAATATTCTACATTTACAAACATCCATGCTTCCTTCGGGATTTGAATCTGGGCCCACGGCAGTGGCATCTGCCTTTCCTACCACCATGCCAAAAGGTGGCTAATACCGTTTTTAACAGCGCATAGCAAAATTACTCTAAATTATTGTAACTGAATACAAAATTGGATTTACTTCTGAAATGGCATCCATTCATATAATGCTTGATTCCACAAATACCGAGATTTGAGTTATACTGAACCCAGAGACAGAATCTTAGACGGAATCATTGTCTGACTAATATGCAAATGTCTAAAACTTCTTGTATGAAGTAAAGCAGAAAAGAACAACGAATGAAATCAAAGCATTTGTTTTATAGAAATGATTAATTGAAGCATAATATAATGTAAATAGGGGATATATTTCAAATATTATAACTTTAAGTTCAGTACCTGGCCAGCCAGTGCTACCTGCAGTTTCCTATTCAGTTAGAAACTAATGGATTATAGAATCGTAATTCATAACATTCAATGACCAATACCCTTTTCTAATCTTTATTACGTTGGGATAATCTATTATTAAATTATTTTTTCCTCAAGTTTGTAATCATTTTCTTCGCATGTAATGTTATTCCTTTACAAAATTAGCGCATCCGAAACTATGGTGCGCGGACCAGAAGTGGTTCTAGAATTGATTCCTTGTGCCCTCCTAAATTTCCAAGAATAAATAAGTCAATATTCAAATTAACTGAGTTTACAATATTATAGCCGAAAGTCTGAGGCTTTAAAAATGACACTTGGAAATGTCTTTCGCTTTTCCTCCTAAACTGACATTTTACGAAGGTTATCATCAATTACCTCACCTATGGACTTGTAAGTACTAACCTTAGCAACAGAAGAGGGATTTAAAGCACTAAGATTACGGTGCTTTTAACCAGTATACATCCAAATAGAACAGCTACGCAAGAATCCACAGGCTCATCTATGTCATCAATGCGGGTAACAGTATTTATTTAATTTTTACCAATAAGGTAAAAATTATCCAAACTTTAACAATCTTGCATTACTAAAAACAAATATAAATTTTCTTCTATTAACTTTATACTTAATAATAATATTACTAAAACAAATATAAATTTTTCTGTTAATTTTAATACTTAATACTAATGTAAAATTAAAGGAATTTTAATCAATCGTATTATAAAAGCATAAGTGTACTGGTAGTAAGATATGTTAAGTTGTGTTTCATAGAAGTTTGAAACAAACTCAACAACATCAACCAGTACACTCAAAGAAGACATGACTAAGGGGGTCTACAGAGCATTTTAATTAATAAAACACGAAAAAAGGGCTGTCGTAAGCAATTAACAAAAAAAGCATTAACACTTTTCATATTGATAAAGCAGATGAATATTCTTAAATTAAAAAGTCTGAAACTTAAACCTAAATTTCTCTCTCTAGTACATTTAAACTTCACATCGTCACTTCACAAAATATTTTAAAGCTAAATTTCGTTATTTCTTAGGAAATTCCAAATTAAAATCTGTTTGGTATATTAAAATAAGACACTGAATACAGCATAACTGAAAATCAAATTTAAATTCTGACGGCTATAAATACAAATTTCATTTACTGCGTAGTGGATAATCAAAAGTTCTGATGGGAAGTATTCACTTGTGTCGATTTCTCATAAGAATTTCGAGAAATTATTCGGATTGATGAGCCGGTAAATTGAGTAAAAAGATGAGAAAGTTTACACTCGAGAGTACAATGCTCCCATGATTTCGGATTGTTTGATGATATTTCTGAATTCTCACCAGGATTTGGCATCTACTATTTATCGAAATTTTTGTTCAGTTTTCGTAAAACTGCTTGACCTAAACTTTTGTCAGTTAGAGCGTGAAATGCATATTTAGATGACTGAAAAGGCAACGAATCGGGTTGTCCATTTTTTCTTTTCAATAAAATTAAAGGGATTGAAATGTCATTTTGCAGAGAAGATCTATTTTTCTCTCTTTCTTTAAAATATTTGATAAAAAGTAACTAGAAAATTTTCAAGATTGCTGCAAGCTTGAGTTTGTAGGAAAAGTTCTGACAGCCTTGATGAACTGCTACATTTTTATGACTCCCTGCTATTGATTTGATTTAAGGATTTTATCTTCGCTAGCCACATTTCTTTCAGGAATATCTAAGGCCAAGTCAAAGCTTACCTAGGTGCGAGTCACTTTGTATTCTTTGTATTTTAATTTAACTGGAACATTTGTCCTACGTTTCCTGCAAGTAGCAAGTATTAAGTTTCTATTGTTATGTAGTTAGTGTAACCATTCGTCTGACGCATTGATAAAAAGATTTATTTTAAACCTTCATCTAAATTTTAATTTGCTGTACTTTATAAGTAATATGGGGCAATAAGTTATCGGTCTCTCTATATTACTCTAAAAGTTACCATATAGTATGTCATGTTGAACTGTCAAGGTAAGTATTTAATTGTTACTCCAGATGTGGAATAAGGAAGTGAGATTTAATACAAGAAGTAGTACGAGAAAAACTGTAAAACATCATAAAAAAGTAAATTATTTTTTTCCTTTTATAATTTCCAATTTTCAGAATTTAAGTAATTTTAAACTGTCGTGAATTTAACTATTCCGGGTATTTCAACAATAACAAATTGGAAACGTATTCACAGTGTTCTCTTGAAATTGATGGAAGAATTTACATAAAAGTTAAGATAGCCATTCTTATATTCTTAATTTAAATTACATTCTTTGAATGTAATTATGATTGCAAAATACATATTTCCCATACAGGGTGCTCCCTCCATCAACGAGAAGAGATGACTTCCGAAGTTGTCATCTGGGATGAATTCCTAGTATTTCTCCAAAGGATTCCCAGTAGTCGTGAACCCAAGTTCAGTCACCAACTAATGGATCGGCTTCATAGTGGTATGCGCAACTTGAAAATGCATCTTTTACCATCAGAAAGCCCTTTACAAAGGCATCTTCTTGTAGAGACATTAGGTTTTTTTCGAAACAGGAGAAATGAAAAGGAGCAATGCCCTCGGCGGAACTCGAACCTCGGACCTCTCGAATACTGGCCGAGTGGGTTGGCCTTTGCACAACGAAGGCATGCTAAGAAGACGGGAGAAATATCTTATATACTCCCCCTTTTAAAGGGCGACTGGGGATTAGGGGACCCAATCGCCAAATCCTGGTAGTGAAGAATCATCATCCACCACCTTTTCTAGTTCGGGGGCCACTGTAGAGACATTTAGGATTTTTTGTAACCTGAAGAACTGAAAAATAAACAATGCCCTCTCCGGGAGTCGAACCACGAATTTCTCGAATACGCCCCGAGTGTGCTGACCATTTACACCACGAAGGCATGCTAAGAAGACGGGAGAAATACTTTTAAGGTAGCCAAAACTTTGCGCGCGTTTCTTTAATCAGTCAAACAATTAACTGACTTGAGTAAGAAATGTCTGTTAACATGCTAAAACATGTGGCAGGTCGACGAGATGATGTTCTCTGGATTCCGTTTTAGCTGTAATTAATTTCTAGCTTGCTGCTCATAAGCTAGGAACTATCAGTAGCTAATTTCTAATGTAAGTTCTAAGACTATTCATACAGTGAAATTTTTGTTTCTTGTTTATTTTGGTTTAAGTATGATATTAAAAAGAAATGCTACATGCAAAAGATTAACTTTTGTTTAGTTTTAACTTCAGCTTACCCATGAAGTTGCTCACGATGCAGTAACAGACTTTTTAAAATTTCATCGATGCTTTTAAACCAGAATTTTAGTTTAATTGATTATTAGGTAAATCATAGTTTATTCAACATTATGCTTATACTATTCCAAAATCATATTTCTATGCCATAAAAACATTCAAACTTTGAGCTGGAGTTTTGCTGCTTTCTCAGTTAATGTACTGTCCATTCTGACTTTTACTCAGCAATAACACATACGCAGGCTCTAAAATCACAATAATAAAAAAGTGAATAATAATAAAAGAAGTTATGCTCACCTTTATTTATGGAATAGAAGTAAAATGCTTACCTGTTTCCTGAAAATCGAGGAGCATATCGCTGCACCTCCGATTTAAGTTGATATGGATTAATTGCATTTTTAGTTTTAGATTCAGATACTTTCTTCACAACATCGGCGAAAACTGCAAGACATGAATTAATTTTTTGAATAAAAATACTTTTAAAGTTATGGGATGAACATAGAATTAGGTTTAAAATACGGAAATAAAAATTATTTTTTAAATTGGGACTAAGAAAAATACTTTAGCGTATTCTATAAGAATGAAAATTATTTAACATAAAAAGTATATATTTCCTATTTTTCATAAGATAACGTGATAATATAGAGCTAGATTAGAGTAATAAAACCAAAGAAGTTAGAACTTCAGTCCGGTTAGATCTTTCTTAGCTTGCTTCATATCAGATTCCCGAATACAATATTATCAGGCACTTTGCTCTTGTCTGTGTGCCATTCTATGTATACATGATAAGTACATAGAATTAGTATTAGGGTACTTCTAGAGGCTTTCACGTTAGCTTTAACTTACTTCCTGATTAAAAAGTTTTTATTTGATTATATAAGAAGTCTAAGAAGTTGACGTTTCTCATTCTTTCAAATCTATTTACGAAGCCCTTTTATCTTATAGGGTAGCGCTTTTCACCAACGCTCTTCCCCTCATCGTAGAAAGTTTAATTTGCCTAACTTAACAGGCATCGCAACTGATTTTGTATCCTTTCTTAATTACTCTGTTTCTATGTAATTTAACACCCATCTTTAACTTCTATAATTAACTGACAGTTTCATTTTTGTGATGATTATGTTTACGTAATTCGACTGAGATGAAGACAGGACTTCTATTCTGAATTATTTTTAAAACAGTGATTAGGATAATGTAATTTTTAGGCAAACTAAAGAATATGGATCTGTTATTTTAATTAATTTTAGTTGTTAAGAGGCGAAGTCCTATCTGTAATTCTAGTTTTACCTATGCTACGCATGTAGTTTCTTCTTACTCTGTCAGACAGGTTTTTCGCCATTAGTGCTTACAGTTAATATAGAAAAAGGCAACTGAAATGTTTCTGTGATTTTCATTAGAACAAAAAAGTAGAATCTAGCACCCAATAGACTTTGTGAGCCAAATTTAACACAATCTAATACTCTGAAAAAGAACACTCCAGCTAACAAATTCATTTAGATAGTCTTGTCGCATCTTATTTTGGTACCCTGGGTTTCATGAACAAAGAGATAAATGTCTGGTAAGCTTGTAGGCTGGTTTTTGTTTACGTCACGTTAAAATTTCAGAGATCTCTAGCGGGCTGAAAGTACGAAGTAGTCGCGAAACGGAAAGTCACATGGTCTGATGCAGAGTAACAGCAAGCATGTGTCGCAAGCATTAGACTGCTTTAACTACTATATCTCTCAGTTGCTCTTTACATACAATTAAATCTGAATACTTCTAGATGATTGAGATAATTAGGAAGACACGAAAGACATATTAACATAAAGTCGTAATTTGTTAGTTAAGTTTAAAAGAAAATCTTACGGATTGTCGAGATATATTTTAAGAAACATTTTCAATCCTTTCAAAATGTTGACTTAATGTTTAAAAACTGAAAGATTTGTTTATTACTTAAACGCTTTATATTTTTATAAAAATGTTTCCAAATAATTTCTAAAAGAAAGAGAGTAAGAAATTAATGTTTTGCAATACTTTTGTGGTACTTTCAGAAACATTATGCCAATATATGCATGCAAATATTTTGGAGCCCGGTAACTACAAATTTATGTTTTCACTATTCTCAAATCAGCGAATGAGAAATAAAAGAATGTTCAAAGGAACAATAGAACTGCTGTTTGTTAAAGCAAGGCATCGTTCCAACAATACTAGAAACTCAGAAAACTAGCTTAAAAAGGATATTGAGGTCACATGCACTTTGGAAGGTATCACAAAACACGGGAGTTCAATAAATCTATTGTACCGATTCAGTTTCTTTTTAAAGTTTAAAACCGATGTTTTTTTACGTGGGCTGATGTTCTGAAATATCAGAATATAAGAGCTAAATGCTGACTTAAATACAGAGTGCAAATGGTGTAACATCGTATTGGTGAATAATTACTCCATTTTGCGAATTAAAATTATTCTTTCTTGATTTGCAAAAGACAGTTACTTAATTTGATATCTCTTTAAAAGTGTAAAAGCATGTTTTCAAATATTATTCCATCCAGAGGTAAGTGATGTGAGGCTTTGTTCAAGCGAGTGCTTCCAGTATATAAAGCTTCAACGAAAAAAGTATAAAAGAATAATGATAATGGGAAATAGGATTATTTCGCCGTGGACGTTTTGCCGTCGGGCCGTTCCGCCGTCGGGCAGTTTCGCCGTCGGGCCGTTCCGCTGTCGGGCAGTTTCGCCGTCGGGCCGCTTCGTCGTTGGGACGTTTCGTCAAGACATATTTTTCTTTACACGAGTGTATTATATTAAGTTGATTTAAATTAATAACTCTGTTTAGTTTAATAATTTAATTTAATTTAATAAACATTTTATATAAAATAATATGTGAAAGGTTTTTGTGTACAGTTTTATACAAATACACCGTTACACACGACATATTAATTTTAAGAGAGTAAGGGGCTGACAAGATTCCAAAGTAATTCCGTTTCCCATTCAGATTTCATAAAAATGTATTAGTGATTTCTCTGAACTAGCCAATTAAAATTTCAAGAAAGTTTGACGAATCATGTAAATATTGTAGCCGTATAATTTTAAAATCGATAATGTAACTTCTGTTATATCAGAAGTTTAGCCCCAGTTCTCTTTGACACTGACATAATTTTCCAACTAACTATGTGTAATTTCTCATACTTGTAAATAACTATATATATTAAAAGCAACCTTTATTCAGTATACAGAAGGTGAACAGATTTATTAGACTAAGTAAGTTCAATGCGAGTATAATACCGGAAAATAAAATACAGTCATATAAAGAAAAATATCTTTTGACGGCAAAATTTCCCGGTGGTGAAATGGCGACGGCGAAAAGTTCTAGACCCTGATAATGATGTGTTAAATTTTATGGGTTTCTTTGAAATACAGACGGTCAATTATAATAAAAGGATGCATTAAAAATTCCTTTTATATATTAAAAAGTCCAAAAGTCCATATTAGTGATAAATGGTTTAGGGGCAATAATGTCATAAGGCTACTTGAAAGTCAACACGAAAGCTTCGGAATAGCAATTAATTCACAATGGATAGATATGCGGGTAAAATGCTTCTTGAGAACAGTAGAAAAAGAAGTTCAGGATATTTAATTCCCTAAAAATAAAATATGACTATTGTATTATAGTTTTGGGAAAAAGAAAAAAAATATTCTATTAAATTAGCGGGAAAAGTGTAAGAAGAAAACTGAAAAAATATTTAATTATGTCATAATTCAAAAAGTATTTGAAAATCTCACTGTAAAGAATATTCTGAGTTACAATTAGTTGAAATCGGAAGTTAGGTAGATCTCTCTTTAATATTGAATATGGTATATTTGTGAAAGTGAATGAATGACGTTGTGGAAGGAAATGGCAAGAAGCTTATTATCCAACTTCTAATTGCCGAGCAAACTGAAGGAAGTAGCTAAGGTCGGAAAGGTACTTTTGGACTTGTTTTTAAGTATCAAAATAAAATTTGTTTAATTCAATCTACTACCGACGTAAAAAAATCTTGGAATTAAAAAGTGAAATTTTTTCCGCCTTAAGAAATCAAACACCTCCCTAAGGAAGTCAAATTATTAATAATGAAAATATTGCAAGGATAACAATTTACTGCAAATATATAAATATTAAATAATTATTTACTGCAAATTACGTACTGCTATCGCACCTGTCATGAATGGTATCATTCATACTGCGAATCAACGGAATGAACGTCCTTCAAATATAGATGACCGAAGTGTTAAATATGGGTGGTTTTCTAAGTTGTATATATGCATGCAATTTTACTTAATTCCATACGGTAACCGAAATGACAAAAAGTAAGTTTTAAAATATTTCTTTTATTTCTAGTTATTTTTTGCATCGATTTTTCGATGATGCATGCAATGTGTTTTGTAATCAGTGTTGTAACATTTGAAAAGTGTACAATTGTGACTCGAAACCCACTTACATTTTTTTAATTAAGGAGTTATTAAAGATGAAATGTTTAAGACATCATATTCGCTGGTTAAAAGGTTTTGCCATGTATGTAGAAACTTAAGTTACTGCTCCATATTAAAGACCTTACAGACATGTACTTTTACATAACAGTAATTTAAACAGAACAAAGTAATTTTCAATATGAGACACAAATTTATTTCTCTGTTAATCTGCATTCCACTAAAATTTTCCCAGAAAATTTATCAAAATACCTTATTTCGCTGATGTAGTTATTTAAAGCTTCTTAGCAGTCCAGTAGCAGACTTGCAGTATGCAAATATCATATTGCAATTTTGGATACATATTTAATTTATGTACATAACTGAGCAGATGCAATTACAGCCAATCAAATTTCCAAATAGACAAAGCCAGTTCAACTATGTTTCACTTAACTGATCAGAGTTTTCGTGATAACGGATTGCTTAAACAAAATCTTCTTATGTCGGAAAAAATTAAAACAAGTATCAAATAATTAGTTTAAAATTATTTAATTAAAGTAGTATTTGGTAGAACACTGGTATTTTGATTCTAGTAAATGCTGAACAACAGCCGTAGATAAGTATTCTGTCTCAAGCATATGAGGTAAGAATAAGTAAAAGAAGAATATGGGAGGTGTGGGCAGGCATATAGTATGTTGCTACCATTTCAGAAATTTTGAAACGTCTAAAGATTCGGAATTTACCTCTCTTATTAATTATTGTCTATGGTTCCAAGTAATATGGATCCAAAACTTGCAGAATTCGTAATTTTATGAGTATGTTTTGTTTTAATTTGTATATAGCTTATTTAATAACTACAGGAATCTCACGTAGTGTGAAACGAATTCTCATTGTGCACATTCCATAAGTTAGAAACAGTTGGCCCAGTTCTGACGAACATAATGAAACTATTTTAATAAAGCTGTAGCTCCCTATCTTCAAAACTAGGTGCTCAAAAATACAAAGGGTTTCCTGAGAATTTTTTG